GATCCTTTTTGGTGTTGTGTGCGCTAATATACATATATACAGGTTATAATACATTAAATTATAACCTATTACAACAAAAACAATTTTCTTACTTAGAATCTAAAATTTTATTTTTTGTTTTTTTACTTGGATTTGGGATAAAAATACCATTAGCTCCATTCCATTATTGACTCTTAAAGGTACATGTGGAATCTCCGACTGCATTTTCTATTTTTTTAAGTGGTTTCCTTGTGAAATCTGCTTTGTATTGTTTATTTATATTACTTTCAATTTTTCACGATGTTAACAATTTTTTCTTCCTTACTATATGAATTTTAATTAGTTTAGTAGTAGCTACCTTAGGTTTAGGACGTCAAACGGATTTTAAAAAATTAATTGCTTGAGCAACAGTACAAGAAATGACCTTTATGTTACTTTTTTTAATATTTAAACAAATATTTCTCATGCATATTTGTACTTTATTTTTATTATTGCACGGAATTATGTCGACGTATATGTTTTATATTGTAGACATGCTATATAGAAGATTTAAAACCAGAGGATTAGTCTACATAAAGGGGTTACACTTATTACTACCAAAATTAACCAAACATTTTTGATTTTTAATATTATTATTCTCTGGATTTCCACTAACTGCAAAATTTCTTATAGAATGGGGTTTAATATCACTAATGACTAACACGTATTTTGGAGCTCTCGTTTATATAATTTTGATTGTTAACTTTTTAGGATCAATTTTATTTTGTAAAATAATGTTTTCAATTATTTATGGAGTACAGGAGGATAAAGAATTTGAATTTATTGAAACTCAAAAAAAAGAATACAGTTTACTAAACTTTTTAGTTATACTAATATTACTATTAATATGACTTATGTATACTTTTTAATTAAATGAATGCTAAATATTTTCGTCCATCTACTATGTGATGAGTTGACTTTTCGATTATTTTTAATAATTACTTATTTTTAAACCAACAGTATACTAATAATTTTTACTTACAACTTTCTACAAAAAATCATTTCTATTACTATCTTCTTATTTTAAACCATATTAATAGCTTTTTATTTTATATATTAGACTCCTCAACAGTTAATTTAAAAAAAAACCAACTTATAATTAATCATCAGTCTATTTTCTTTGACTACCAAGTGACTACTTTAACAAATATTAATAAAAAAATAAACTCAATATCTAAACTTAATAAGGGAAGCACCTGATTGGAGCGTGAAGATAAGGAATTAAATAAGACAAACTATACTAACTTAGTAGATTCACGTAAATTATTACTAAACTATAACTATAATCTGGAAGTATCTTATACAGGTTTTAATCAAATAATCAATGATATCTATTTATAATTGGCAGCACCAAAGCGTTTTAAATTCAAATCTATAAAAAAATCTTATAAAAAAATTAATAATAATTCCAAGTTTATACATTTAATGCAAAATAGTGAGTTATTTGACGAATGTCATTATTTTGTAGAATGTGATAAAAATCGAAAATTAAAATAAAAAAGTTGTTATTTTGACTAAAGTTTTTTTGAGTATTATTTATTACTAGTATGCTAACTATAGGGATTAATTCTAATAACTTTTTAAATTTACTATTAAATATAGAGCTCCTTGTTATAACTATATTTTATATCTATATATTTAGTGCCGTCCTCTTTAATTTACAATGAATCTTAGGTTTTAGTTTTATCGTTGTTATACTAGGTGGTTTAGAAGTTGCACTAAGTTTTATTTTACTTAATTTATAAATGACATTAATTAAT